GTTTGTTTGTTGTTGTTGTTGTTGTTTTGAGACAGGGTTTCTCTGTAGCTTTGGAGCCTGTCCTGGAACTTGTCTGTAGACCAGGCTGGCCTGAAACTCACAGAGATCCACCTGCCTCTGCCTCCTGAGTGCTGAGATTAAAGGTGTGTGCCACCGCATTATTTTTCAAGACAGGCTCTCTCACTGAACCTGGAGCTCCCCACTCGCCTAGACCAGCTGGCTGACCTGGGATCTGGCTCTCTGTACCCTCAGTGCTGGAATTACAGGCAAGCACTACCCTGCCCAGCTTTGGATCCACAGTCAGGACCTCATGCTCCCCAGTCAGCGCTTCACCCACTGAGGCGTCTTCCTCACCCTGAGATCCCCACAATGGCAGACAAATCTGGGGTTTCAACATACAAAGCCTTCTTCAAAAAGAAGGACTGTCTGACTGGGCATGGTGGCGCACACCTTTAGTCTCAGCACTTGGGAGACAGAGCCAGGGGGATCTGTGAGAGTTTGAGGCTAGCCTGGTCTACAGAGTGAGTTTTTGAAAAACCAGAGCTACATCATAGAAAAAGCATGGCAGTGCCGGGCAGTGGTGGCACACGCCTTTAATCCCAGTACTCAGGAGGCAGAGGCAGGTGGATCTCTGTGAGTTCGAAGCCAGCCTGGTCTACAAGAGCTAGTTCCAGGACAGGCTCCAAAGCTACAGAGAAACCCTGTCTCGAAAAACAAAACAAAACAAGACAAAAAAAAAAAAAAACCCAACTAAACAAACAGAAAAAGCATGGCAATATCAGGGCTCAGAGGCAGTTAGCACCTGCAGATTCATCTGCCAAACCTGTCACACAGTTTCAGCAACTCAGTCCCAGCTTCTGCCACCTCCAGAGCTTCCCAGAAGAAGTCACAGAGCAGCAACAGCTCAGTCCACTCCCTGTGCTGCACTTCTGAACACAGTTCTGTTTCTTTTTAGCCTCTTCTCTCTGTAGAATGCACTGCTGGTCACTCCGTTGCCCTGGAGAGCTTCAGCTGACTGTAAAATAGGGCTAAAAAGGGTGAGACTTGACCAAGCCTTTAGAGCCATAAGGAACTATAAGCTCAGTCAAGTGACCTCAGTCAACCATGATTTTGCCGAGAAATCTTAGAAGGAGCCAGGATGCCATCCGGGTCCATCCTACAGTATGGCAGGGGGATCTGTGAGAGTTTGAGGCTAGCCTGGTCTACAGAGGCCATGACTACAGCGAAACGCCCATTCTCTCAGGCAATGACCTCCCCTCACTTGTGATAGGCTGAACACCTCAAGGTGTCTCCTCCGTGTGATGGGGCTTCATCCTCCCAAGAGGGATGCGCTGGCTGGTTCTTCGCACCAGGAAAGCTGGACCAGGCCATAGCATAAGGCCTCTGCTTAGCTATTGCTCAAAATTCAGTTCAAGGGCCGTAGACAAGGCTCAGCATTTGAGAGCACTGGCTGCTCCCTGAGAGGACTCAGGTTTGGTTCCCAGGACCCACACAGTAGTCACGACATTTATTACTCCAGTTCTGGGCTTCTGATGCCTCTTCTGACTTCCGAGGACATCAGACACACATTTGGCACACAGACATACATGCAGGCAAAATACCCACACACAGCTTTGGCCCAGTGACTCTAGTCAGACCAGGGATTCAGCCCCACCTGATGCACAACGCGAGGCTGTGGCGAGAGACCAGGGAGGAGATCACACATTTGCGGTGCCAAATGCTGCTCTGCTGCTTTGCTGTTATTGTTCATTTCATTTGGTGTTTTTTTTAAATCTACCTTCTAACCATTTTAACATGTTATTTTATGTGTGTATATGCCGGGATGTATATCTGCGCATCTCATAAGGTCAGAAGAGGGTGTCAGGTCCCCTGGAACTGAAGTTGCAGACAGTTACAAGCCATAATGTGGGTGCTGTGACTTGGACCTGGGTCCTCTGGAAGAGCAGCCAGTGTTCTTAACCTCCCAGCTGCCTCTTTCCAGCCCTGTTTGTTTCTTTTTGAGACAAGGCCTCATGTAGTCCATACTGGCCTCAAACTCCCTATGATGCCAAAGATGATCTTGAACTCCTGATCTTCCTGGCTGTGTTTCCTAAGTGCTGCACCTCCCCCACTGCTGAATGCTTCTCGTTAGCAGAATTTTAACCAGTCCTGCCCAACCTCCCTATAAAAGGCTCAGCACCTTGAAGGTCATGTCCGAGCTTCAGATGTCTGTGTCCCTCCTCTGAAGCTGGCTCAGTGCCCTCCACACTGACACCTCCAAGGGCTTGCTGACGGTAAGAGACCCTTTCGAATGAGGGAGGGTCTGAGGGCAGAGCTGTGTCAGGGCTGAGGATGGGAGGAGGAGGAGGAGTGGGAGAAACAGAAATGGGACAGGTACAGCCCATCTGCTCAAGCATCTGTTCCTAACAGAGAGCCAGCTTCCTTCAGGCTTGGTGCGCATGGCGTTAGTCTCAGGATTTGGGAGACAGAAGCAGGCATATCTCTGTGAGTTCTAGTCCGGTTAGAGCTACACAGTGAGACCCTATCTCAAAAAACAGGACGTGTGAATAGGATCCGGAGAGATGTTTCAGTGGTAGGAGCACCAGCTGGTCTTGAACAGGATCCAGCTTTAGTTCCCAGCACCCACATCTCAACTTCAACCATCTGTCACTCCAGTCTCAGGGGATCTGATGCTTGCCTGGCCCCTGTGGGTACCAGGCACACGCATGGTAGAGAGCCAAACATGCAGGCAAATCACTCATACTCATAATTTTTTTTTAAATACTTTTTTTTTAAAGCCAGCTTCTCCTGGTCTGATGAAAAAGTTGTGTGGGGAGATGGGTATTCTAGGTGTGACCTCAGGACGCTTGCACCTCGAGTGTCCTTTTCTGGGACGGGTCCTCCACTGCTCATCCCAGCTCCTGGCTTGCTCCAGGCGACAGTGGCCCCTGTGGGTTTTCTGAGACTGCCTGGCCTGTAAGTGGGTGGATGGGGTACTTCTTTGGCCCCAGGAGAGTCTGTCAGGCTGGGAGTTCTCTGAAGGAACTGGGATCCAGGACTATGAGTCTCAGTTCGAAGGTCTTTGCCAAGAGTTCTGGATACTTTCCCAGGGCTGGGTAGGCCTGCCTCCGCTCTGTGTCAGGTGGCAAAGTTCTTAACTTCCGAGCTCCGCCCTCAAAGGTTTGGATCTGAACCACAGGTGCCAGGCCAGCCTTAAAGCACTTAGCTGGAGGAGGAAGTTGTCTCTAAGGAAACAACCGTACTCCTGTCCACACCCACAGTCTACTCTCTGTTCCCCAGCTACAAGGACACTCGGCTGTGGTCTCTCTGCTTCTGCTCCCTTTGTCTCAAGTTGCTGTCCCATACAGCTCTGGCTAGGACACTCTGCTAAGAGATCCCTGCCTCTGCAGTCCTTTAACTGTAGGACAGAGTTCTAAAGCCCGTCCTTACCTGTCCTGTCACCTGCGTGCCTGCTGTTCTCTACCCTGCCCTGCCCCTGTCCCTAGACTCCTTTTGGAAAGCCCCATGGCAAGCTTCTTGTTTCTCTTCCACTCTCTTGCTCCCGTGAAAGGGACACTCTTCTTCCCCTATAGCCAGAAAACTCATATTCCTTCCTCCCAGCCCAGCTTGGGTAAAGCTAACCCTGACCTCCCTGGTGGTCAGGGGCTTCCTCTGCTAGGCTTGTACCACACAGCACGCTTCTGCGACCTTCACAAGCTGTGTCCTGGTTACCGTCTCCTTCTCATGGCCTTGGATCATGGACCAAGCCCTCTTTGTTTCAATCTCCAGACCAGCTAGAGCAGGTATCTATGAACAATAGTCAGAGAAATAAACCTTTACTTGAGGTTTTCGGTAGCACGATTAATAAAAACTCAGAGACAGATATTAGGGTTCAACCTGAAGGTCAGAAAAGCAAAGCAGCCAGCTACTGGCTCTTTCCTCTACCTCAGTCCAAAATGGTGATCCTGCCTCCAGGAATCTCGGAATAAGACTGTGTCTGAGAGCTGTCTCTTCCCGTCTTATATTCCTCTCTAGGGCTGAGATTAAAGGCATGGACCACTGCTGCCCGGTTTCTGTGGCAAATTAGTGTGACTACTGGGATTAAAGGTGTGTGTCGCCACTGCCTGGTCTGTAAGGCTGACTAGTGGGGCTGTTTTACTCACTGATCTTCAGGCAAACTTTATTAAAAAACACAAATGAAATATCACTAGCCTTCCTTGTGACTTATTTCTGTTCCTAAAGTCATAGCTTACCTTCCCACCCTCTAATACCAAGAGCCCGTGGCTTCTAAGCAAGTACCCTGTGCTGGCTCAACTCTTATGTGTGATGTGTTCCATGAATGTTCATGGAACATACAGGGTAGGAAACCTTGTTGGGCAGAGCAAGTGTCCACGAGTACAAAGATGAAGGAGACCTCGTCTCCATCCGTCAGAGACCTGGCTAGGTTGCTAAAGTCCTACTCAGGCTGACTGCCTCTCTGAGGCCAAGATTTCTGGGAATGAGCAACACTGGGAGAGGAAGCAGGTGCAGAAGAGAGCTGAGCTCAAGAAAGGGTATGGCGGTAGTTAGTTAGCTATTCAGCCAAGCGATCTGCTTAGGAGCACGGAGCCGCTCCTTCCTACATTTTAGATTTATCTTTTTGTGTGCATGTGTGTTTACATGTACACATGTATGTACACCGTGTGTGTGCCTGGTGCCCACAGAGCCCACAAGAGGGCATCAGATGTCTTGGGACTGGAGTCACAACATTCCAGGCCACTGTGAGTGCTGGGAATCAAACTTGGGTGATCTAGAACAGCTTAAACCCCAAGCCATTTCTCCAGAGATTCCTGCAGACCCATCCGGCCTCCTCAGCTGTCAAGAGGTCCAGAGAGCCAGAAGAGTAGTGTACAAACCTTTGCCCATCTCAGAACCTGCCATCTCAATCTGTCAAGTGGGCACAACCACCCCTACCCCATGCAGTTTACTGAAGCCAACAGAGCCAGCAGGACTGTAGAAGTAAACACTCCAGGAAGCCATCATAAAAATGAACAGTTTTTATTGGTCTCAGGAACAGGGTCACAGGAGAAACGGGGATGAAAAGATGGTAGCAAGTGCCCAGGGCACCTGCCTGGAGACCTTTGAGAAAGAGAAGCAAGTGGTGAGCTGGAAGGTCAGCACCTGCAAGGAGGAGGCTGTGGCCTCACTCTCCATGGACCAGTCAAGGGACACCTCAGGGAGGCACAGTCCCCACCCAGCTTGTTCTACAGGCCTCACCGAGGTTTCCGTGAGAGTGGTTGTGGAACAACTTTGCAAACAGTAAAGTGCAGTGCACAACACATGCAAGCTAGCTGCCTTTGTGTTAGACAGGCCTGTCTGGATGCTAGGGAGTACTGACTATGAAAAAACACTGTTGGAGGCTCAGAGGTTGGTCCCTTGAGCTTTCTCTTCCCCTCAACTTCCATGGCACCTCACGCCTTGGGGATGAGAGGGTGGAAGTGTTCTGGAGCTGGCCCCAGTTCCCGCTCTGAGCTGAGGTAGAGACCATCAGGGTGTCCTCAGCAAGGCCTGCGGTGGCTTTGCTCCCTGGGGTCAGTGGACGGTGGGATGAACAAATGCAGTCCTGGTGGCAGGGAAGGCCTGGCCCTGCGCCCTCTTTCTCCTGAGTATTGCCTTCCAGTACGTTCCTTTGTGCGTCTCAGTGAGGTCCATCCTTTCCTGGGTGAGGGACAGAACGACTGCTGGTGGATTCTTCCTCGCCACATGCAATATGGCACCCAGCCAAGGTCGTCTCTGCCCCTCCTGGCACCCACAGACCAAGAGGCATAGAGTAGCCAAGGTCATCCCCTGGGAAAGTCCCAGCTCCAGAAGCCGTGCTGAGAGAGAGGAGGGCTGTGGGGAGCACTCAGGGCTCTCAGAGCAAAGCCTTAAAGAGAAAGGAGAGAGAGGCTCCACAGGACAGTCCCAGGGCCAGGAAGAAGGTCATGAGGGCTCCGGCCACTTCCCTCTCGTGTGGCAGCACCTGCCTGGAACACAGAGAAACAGAAACTTAAATGGAGAAGGCGGGGCCTGACCTTAGAGACAGCTTCTGCACTCTCTGATGTCCTCTCTGCACTAGGGTTCTAGTCTGGGTCTGACCCCCCCCCTGTGTCACTACAACCTGGTCTTTCTCTGGGCTTCCGTTCCCTCCTCTGTAAAATGAAGGCGCTGAGAAAGAATACCTGATCTCTCTGGGCCTTCGCAGGTATTCCATTACTTCAATTCTTAACAAAATGTCCCGGTTAGTTCTTGCCATGCTTACTTGTCTGAGAGTCCCAGCCCTACCACCCCTGGAGAAAACAGCTGGGCCACCTCGACAGGTAACATCCCCAGATCCTAGCCTGGGGCAAGTGCCACAGCGAAGGCCTGTCCTATAGGATGACACCAGAGCTGAAGACAGCAACCTGAGAGCTAGGGTCTCCCCGGCACAGCACCCAGCCCTTCGCTCCCCAGACCTGGGTGCCAGGCACATGGTGAGAGACACCAAGTAGCCGTTGGAAACGGCGAAGAGCAGCATAAACGTGATGAAGTAGGCGTCCTGCCAGAAGATGGTGGGCAGCCGGGCACGCGCGGGCACATGGCAGAGCATGAAGAGGGGCACAAACAGGAAGCGCAGGCACACCAGCAGGGGCAGCAGCCGGCTGTCCTCATCTGGCTGGGACAGAGGTTCGAGTGAGTGTGGGCCCTGCAGCTAGGTGAGGGGCAAGTCACATGCGTGCAGGCGCCCTAGGAGGCTAGAAATGAAGTCACAGGGAACTGTAAGCAGAGCGACATGGGTCCCGGGAACTGAGCTCAGGTCCTCTGGAAGATCAGTGAGTGCTATCTCTCTGGCCCCTGATCATTTCTTTATAAGAAAAGCATTCAGTCCTTTAATCCCAGCACTGGGGAGGCAGAGGCAGGTGGATCTCTGTGAGTTCGAGGCCAGCCTGGTCTACAAAGAGAGTTCCAGGACAGCCAGGGCGGTTACACAGAGAAACCCTGCCCTGAAAACCCCAAATGAAATAATTAATTAAAAAAAAGAGAGCATTGAAAGCTGGGTCCTCTGGTTCTCTGACACACACAGGACATTCAGATTATCTACAGTGACTGCACCGGGCCAGCACGCATTTCTCCAGCCTAATTACAATCAGAACCCTTTGGACAGTTCTCCCATCAGATGCCAAGCAGGAGGGAGGCTGGGTCTCCGGGTTGTGTCCCCACTTGGGTTGCTGCTGCTGTATTTGTTACAGTCCCAGGGAGCCATCAATTAAGGAAACAAGGTCCCGCTGACAGCAATCCATTAACTAAGAATCATGTCCAATTTCTCACCAGGTACAAGAATCTTCACGAAGCAGAGGCTGGACATGGCGCTCCACCAGATGTGGTGGCTTTGGTGGAAGTCATCCCCAGCCTGGCCTGCCCATGGGGCAGGGGCAGTTACTTACTGCCATTAGGAGAGCCAGTCAATGTCAGATCAGGGGCACTACTGAAGGTCACCTTTCCATGCTCCTGTGCACCCTTTGGCCCCCAGTTACTTCCTAACCCTTTGGCTGGGTCAGTGCAAACAAGCTCACCCACAGGAAGTAGGAAGTCAGGCTCCGGCCCAGCCAATCCATAACGTTGAAGAGTAGGAAACAGCAGATGGGGTTGAAGAATTTACCTGGAGTAGAGAGAGCAGACAGTCACCCCATCCCCATCTGACCTTTCCCCTCACTTCCCAGCCCCTTCCTCTTCACCCCAACACTCACTCCACTTCCCAGGGCTGGTGGAGCTGGTCACCATGGCTGTGATGGCAGGAAAGACGGACAGGGTGACTGTGAAGACCAACACAAGGCACAGCGCCGTCAGCCAGATCTGGGAGCCGGAGGCAGGGTGTGAGTGGGCAGGGCAGCCCTGTGTCCATCATGCAGCCCCCCCCCCCACTGTGCTGCTGTAGCCCCACCCACGCATCCCTAAGCCACCACGACCCATTGACAATAGGGAATAAGCACTAAAGCCCAGAGGTGGAGAAAGTGTCCCTGGGCAGATGGTTAGGAGCTATCTCTTCGCTGAACCCTCCAAAAGACAATGAACCAGCCAGGCGGTGGTGGCGAATGCCTTTAATCCCAGGAGGCAGAGGCAGGCGGATCTCTGTGAGTTTGAGGCCAGCCTGGTCTACAAGAGCTAGTTCCAGGACAGGAACCAAAAAAGCTACGGAGAAACCCTGTCTTGAAAATTAAAAAAAAAAAAAAAAGAGACAACGAACCTTCCGGAAGACAACAAAGACTGAAGGTTTTCCCAGTTTCTGTGGCTCCTCTAGTTCCAGCTCTGACTCCGGCTCCTTCTCAAGGTCAAGATCCAGAGCTGGGCCTGCCTTCTGGGGGCTGATGGGAATCCCATTTTTCTCATCTAGGGGAGAGGGAAGGCTGGGGGATCAGCCCCGTGGCTCAAATTTCCAAAACCAAGGAAATCCTAGTGGTGAAAAAAGTGTCTCTTCCCAGCCCAAATGCAGGAGATTAGTAGTGTCAGTAGCCTGTTTATTAATTTCTTTGTTTATTTACTGCAGTGCGGGGATTGGCATGTGGTTTCCTGGACTCTTAGACGGCGGCACTTACTGACTTACACCCCAGCACTTCCATGATTTTTGTTTTGTTTGTTTGTTTTTGAAGATGGGATCTCTTTCTAGCCCCTGCTGGCCTAGAACTCTCTGTTACCTCCACCTTTGACTTGCTATCCTGCCTACGCCTACGAGCCAGGCAATTAGTAAAGCATTTGCAAGGATTCTCTCATTGTCTCTTTGCCCTGAAGCAATGGAAGCTAAGCTGGGCGGGGTGGCAAACACCTTTAGTTTGAGCACCCAGGAAGGTGGGCAGACTTCTGAGTCTGAGGAAAGACCCTGCAGCCAAAATACAACAGTCACGCAACAAAAAAGAAATGGAGACTAGAGAGATTCACTGGTCTGCCCAAGGCTGTAGAGCCTAGAGATTGTGGATCCAGAACGGTCTCAGCCACTTCTTCATTTTGCTCAAGAGGAAACAAGGAAATAGACCCACAGGGTAGCAGGGACGGCTCCCCTTCATGACCTGCCTTTGCTCACACAAGCCTCAAAGAGATGGGGTGGTAATGGGGACAGAAGGGAATAGTTCCCAGGAGTCTGCTTAAACTTGCTCTCTCTCCTACCTCCCCTGCAAGGTCCTGGAATTTACCAGCTTGAAGGAGCTCAGCTTTGGTCTCTAGTTCCTGAGCTGGGGCCTGGGACAGCTTCTTGGCCAGGTAGTAGCGGGCAAACTCCTGCAGAGGAATCAACAAGTCAGTCCTGGCCTGGTCTGTAGTCCCCCCCCTCCGCCCCCCCCCCAACACCCTTCGCTGGGAGGCTGAGGTCCCTGTGGTGATTTAAAAGAAAGTGGCCCCCAAAGGGAGTGGCACTATTAGGAAGTGTGGCCTTGTTAGAGTAGGTAGTGTCTCTCTGAGTGTGGCCTTTGAGGTCTTCTATGCTCAAGCTAAGCCCAGCGTCACAGCTCACTTTCTTTATGCCTGAGGATCAAGATGTAGAACTCCCAGCTACTTCTCCAGCACCATGACTGCCTGTGTGCTGCCGGGTCCTGCCATGAGGATAATGGACTAAACTCTGAAACTATAAGCCACCCCCGTTAAATGTTTTCCTTCATAAGAGTTGCCATGGTCACAGTGCCTCTTCACAGCAATAGAAACCCTAACTAAGACTGTACCCCAACCAACACCTCCTCTAGGGGATCAGCACTAACTGAGGTCTCATCTCCCAGGGCTTTGTTCAAAATTCCCTAAGGCGGGGCTGTCTAGCCCAGTGGTAGGCTCACCAGATGGGGCAGGCTAAGGTAGCACACGATGGAGAGCAGGATGCCCACACAGGGTGTGATGAAATACCCAAGGGCAGAGGTCCGGGCATCCACGCCACCTATGGCAGAAACTTCAGCTGCAGGAGAGGCAAGCCCCACACTCCCACGTGGCTTCCTGTCACGTCACCTGGTCATTCTCCCTTAGGACAATCCACCCCATCCCCTGGCATCTTCCTCCTGTGTCCCATCTCTTCTTCCCGACCCGCCAGCCGCCTAGGTGGACTCACTGGCCATGGACATGAGCATAGCAAGGGCAGCGAAGATCCCGGCCAGGCCCTGGCCGCTGAGGAAGAGGGTGCTGTAGGTGGAAGGCATGGTACCCAGTTGCCCGAAAAGGCTGCCTTGGAGCACTGCACAGAAAGCTGTAGAGAGACGGGGGTGTGTGTGTGGGGGGACAGCACCAATGCTCAGGCAGCCTTGGAGGCATCTGAGAGGCAGTCTCTATAAGGTGCATGGGAAACTCTGGTGCCGGCTGGGCAGGCATGGGTTTTCCTGGGGATGTAGGGCAGTCTGCTAGAACATCCCCCCCCCCACCCATCTATTTCTCTCTCTCTCTTATTTCGCTAGCCAGGAAGTCACTTTATAGACCAGGCTGGTCTTGAACTTACAGAGATCTGCCTGCCTCTGCCTCCCAAGTGCTAGGATTAAAGGTGTGCACCACACCCAGGCTGTTTGTCCTCTGAGATATAACCATTGGTCTGTGGGACTTCTGACTAAGAGGCCTGTTCTTTGGTCACTATGGGTCTGAGACAAGTGATTTCCCTCTCTCTGGGATCAGCTTCTTTTGGGGGGTTTGGGTGATAATGGCATTATCTTCATTCAAGGATCCGTTGGCCTGTTCTAGTACAAGGAAGAAGTGTGTATGGGGGGCGGGGGAGGCAGTGTACTTACAATTGATGAACCAGACGGATGCCATGGTGATGGAGAAGAACAGCCCCGGGCTCAGGTCCACCTTCACCAATGCCGCTGTCAGGACAAAGAGCAGCAGTATGGCCAGCAGGCTGCCCAGAATACGCACCGCCTCAGGGATGCTGCTCAGAAAAGGGGCAGAGGACATCAGACTGCCAGGCAGAGGAAGACCAGCAAGGGGCAGGGCAGTGGAGCTGGAGCGGTGAGGCGGGAGCAGGGAAAAGGCAGGAAGCTGGAGGTCTTCCTGGCCGCTATGACGTCTCCACAGGGAGGCTGGGGTCCCACCACTGGCTCTTACCACTGATACAGGAAGGAGTTGAGGAGCGTGAAGAGCAGCAGAGGCAGCTGGGACAGCAGCGTCACCCAGTTGTTGAAACTGTAAGAGTCTGTGGGGCCGGTGTGGTTGGTGCTCAGAGCCTCAGCTGTGCTATTGACCCCTGCCAATCGCCCCTGGAAGTACTGCCAGATGGGAGACAGTGTAGTCAGGAAGCACTGTCCCTTTCCACACTCGGGCTGAAATCTTTGTACTGTCCCCAGCTCCTGGCACACAGCTTGAGCAGGATAGGTATGCACTGTATATAAAATGGCTGAATTCTGGGACCGAGCCTGGGGCCTTGCTACATGTCTGGGTCATATCTCCTCTTCAATGTCCTGGCTCCACTCCCACGCCTGCAGTGGCGCGGCTCTATGTCCATTCATCTTGTGGGCATTTATTGAACACCTACTGTATGCAAGGCCCCAGCTTAGGTGCTAAGCAATCACATCTTCTCTGCCACACATAACCAGCCACTCTTGTGCTTAGCTTCCCATGGCCTGCAAGGCAGATCTCATGTCTGCCTTCTGCGTCATCCCGCTAAGCTCCAGGCTCTGGACACTTCTCTAAACAGGCCCTTCTTAGCCTCCACTCTGAATTCCCTCTCCCCACCTTTGCCTGCTCAGTTCACAATTTACAACTCCCTTCTATGAAGCAGAAGATATTTCTGCGAACCTTCACCACTCTGCTTCAGGCTGGAATGGAGAGACACGGGTCACGTTACATTATTAATAACTCCGGTCCCATGGATCTCCAGTTCAGTAGCTGATTCATCTTTGGGTATCCAGGGTTCACTATTGACACTGGCACCCCATAGGCACCTGGAAAGTTGCCCCACTGAATATGTTTGAATAATCCTGTCCCAAAGAAAATGCAAGCTACACATTTTTGCCTTTCCATCAAAGGATGCATGCTTTGGGGACTAGAACGCCCCTCTCGCATGGTTTCTCCACACCAGCAATGCCTGACCCACAGCAGTTACACGCTAAATACTAGTTTAATAAATATAAATCATATCACTGCAAAGAAACCTAAAGGTTTGGAAAATCCACTTTTGGAATGATTGGACAGAAATAACGACAAAAACCATGTGCTGGTAGCTCCTTTGCTGGTCAGACTCCCTTCGTAGATGGCCCTGGCCCTTGGGGACCTGGACATTCCTAAAAGTTTGCCTAGCCAGGTAACAGGCGTTCCCTCTGTGAAGCTCTGTGCTTCTGTTGACAAGTGAGACGTAAAAGGCGTGGTGAGGAAGCGGCTTGGGAACCGCAGTCCAAGGCGGCGGGAGGGATGGTTTGTGGCCATGCGGTCGCTCACTGGCCGCGGGTCTCACCGGGATAGCGGTGATGAAGAAGTTCCAGGGGAGGAGGGTGCCCAGTCCCAGGATGAAGAAGCTGATCCCGACCAGGTGGTAGCTGTGGGGGATCAGTCAGAAGGTCACCCCGAGGACGCACGCCTGGGCCGCCCTAGCCGCCTCCGAGGCCGCCCCTCAGTAGAACGGACTACAACCCCCACCACCCTCACGCAAGCAGCCAAGGGAATCGGCTGATGGGAATTGTAGTCCCGTTAGTCTTGAAGCCCAGGAGCATGCAGACCAGCGGGAATTCACAGGCCTGTGGTCACCGGGGCTCCGGTACGCACCACCTGGGGTTCCCACCTCACCTGTCCCGAGGGGAGTCTTCTCGCGCCATGGCTGCCGCAGCCCAGTGAGCCAGGCCCGGTATGGGGCGGCTGCACCTGAGCCTCTGCGGGGCTGGGTGGTCGAAGGACAGCAACGGCAGCCGGTCTCCCGGAATCCCAAGGTCGGGACACGGAGGTCCAGGCTCGGCTACCGCCGAGACTACGTTTTTGCGGGTTCAGATCTCAGCTCCGCCTCTAGGGCGGGAACAAAGGGCCGAGCACTCCTCCCCCGTCGCGCTGGTTTTCCGTCTCGCCGGCAGCTGTGCCTTTGGGTTTGGGATCCCGTTTCCTGCCGCTTGCACGTGTGCTGCTGGGTCTTACCACTGCCCTTCCTGCAGGCTCCTGTCCTCTCTGCAGGCCTCTGGGGATCCCAAGGGGCCGGGATCTCTGGAGAGGGTTGTTATTCCCCGCGTCGCAAGACCCCCAACAAGACCACCACGGAGCCAACTTTACAAAGCAAGAACAAAGGTTTCTTTATTACAGCCCGGGCAAGGACCTTGTCCAACACTCCAGGACAGCTAGTGAGGGAAGAAGGCCCCACTCCCTATTACGAAGGGTTTATATAGGGAAAAACCAAAACCACGAGCAGGGTTTCTTGGCGTTTTATGACTGGGTGAGGGGATGCAGGGTGAGGTCATTCTTTAAAATCATTGGCTAGGCTATAGGCAGGAAGCTACTAACTGCTGGCAGCATGTCTACAGGAAATCACAAAAATGTTGACAGGATATAGGATATCTGTAGGAACATCTGGCCTTTGTTAAACTATATTGTCCTGTTTCCCAGCTGGCTGTATCCGGGATGTATGTTTAAATCCTGCTAAACAACACACTCCAGGCCCCCAGTCACCAGATGTCTCAAGATGGAAGCCTATTCACAAGATGGCGTTGGTTCTGTTCCTTCAGGGTGACAAGGATGCTGTCAGGGGGAAGGGGACCATCGGTGCCTGGGCACAGTCGAACTGGCTGGGGGTTCTTCCTCTTGGCACACTGTGAGATGGAACCTTGCTTGCATCCCTTAAGGTTTGGAGACCTCTGAGCTTGTTGCTACCCAGTTGGCAGCTTAGCAAGCAAGCCTGGTGGACCAGGTGGGGCAAGCTGTTGTCACCTACTGTTGCAGAGGGTCCTAGCGAGATGCTCTGAGGGAGTTTCCCTGGAGGTCGAGAGGTTGTCCGGTTGTCTTTGCAGACGGATATGGAAGACAGACAAACAGGCCCTTTTTCCAGTGGTAGCTGGGTCCAGAAAGGAGGGAACTGTGACCCAGTAAGTGATGCTCGGATACCTCCCCAGCAGCTGCTGCCTGCCACCATCACCATCATTGCCACCACCAGGGCTGTGTTCGCCTTCCACTATTATCCGCACTCAGTGAAAATTTTGATGAGATTGCAAATAAGAATCGTATAATTTATGCGTGAGTGTGGTTTCACTAGAAGGAAGAAGTGAGACGTTGCTTTCTTCAGTTAATATATTTGCCAAAAAAAAAAAAAAAGTGTGTTGATCTGGGCTGGCGCAGCAGCTCTGAAGGTAAGGGTGTCACTGCCAAGCCCGTTAGCCAGAGTTCCAGCCCTAGGACTCATGTGGGGGAGGTGACTCCTGCGCATTGTCCTCTGACCTCCACACAAGCACAGTGGCACACTTGTGCCCCACCCCATGAATACGTGTAGTGTGCGTGGTGTGTGTGTGTGTTTTGTTTTTTAAGACAGGGTTTCTCTGTAGCTTTGGAGCCTGACCTGGAACTAGCTCTTGTAGACCAAGCTGGCCTCAAACTCACAGAGATCTGCCTGCCACTGCCTCCCAGTGCTGGGATTAAAAGCATGCACCACCACCGCCCAGTGTGTTTTAAAGAATATAGTTATTAGCTGTGCAGTGGTGGCGCACACCTTTAATTCCAGCACTGGGAGGCAGAGGCAGGCGGATCTCTGTGAGTTCGAGGCCAGCCTGGTCTATAGAGCAAGAAGTCATTTTCAGGGTGTTTATCCTGTCTGCCAGGAAGATTGTGCTTCTGCTCTCTCTGTTTTGTTCCTAGAATGTAGAATCTAGCATCCTGCTTGGCTCATTGAAGGTGGACAATAAAGGATGTAAAGGATTAGCTCGTGGTGGTCTGCAGATGTCTGTGGTGCTGGGAACTGATTCCTGAACCTGTGCATGCCAGGCAAGCACTTAGCCCTGAGCTGCATCCACAGCCCTGGCCAGAGACTTCAGGCGGAAGGGAGACAAACATTCAATTACACGGGAAAAGACGGTTACTTCTTGATTTTCTTTCCAGCCTTCTGATAGGCCAAGAAAGAAAGTCTGAATTCAGTCCCAACACATTTTCAAGGCCCTTTAATCCCCTTTGCGCTCGGAACTGGCCTCCGGGCATCTCCTGGCAATTTTACATACCTGCTTTTTACTCAAACTTATTTCAGTAATTATTATTGATACTGGCTTTCTACTTGATAGTAATAGAAAAACGAGTCAGAAAAACAAGTGGGGCGGGGGCGGGGACATAGCCCTGGCAGGGTCTTGAAGGCGAAAGTGGAGAATGAAGGTCTAGGGAGCGGTGCATTTTGCTTGTTTGGGCTGGGATAGAAGAGGATAGGGCACTTCAGAGAAAGAACAGCCTGTTTCAGGGCTGGGGACAGGAGCGCTGGCACACTGTGGGACATACAAACAGATCCCTTTGGCTGGGAGGTGGGCACAGAGCCTCCCCAGATTTCACTTCAGGTTCTCGGCTCAGACTGGGGATCCTTGTGATTAACCATCAATAACTGGTTTCTATTCTGTGGTGAAGTTGTATGTGTAAAGAAGCCTGAGTATGAAGCGTGTTGGTGGCACCGTGATACCCTAAGGGTGTTACAGACGGCAAGAAAGGAAAGCACTTAGTAATAAAATAATAAACCCTCGGGTGGTTTAATGCGCAAATGCATGAAGGCGCAGGCTCCGCCCTCTCCACAGCCACAGTTGCAAACCCACGCCAGCTCCAAAGCTGACTCTTAAAGGCCGCTGGTGTGTCTTGGTGATGTGCTATTCTGAAATGGTGACCAAGGCTTGGCGAAACTCCAAGGGACAGTGCAGCTGTCCCTCTGCAGACAGTGCCTGAATTACTGGAAAATGCTGTGTATGTTTAAACCTTACAAATAATACATTGTGTCTGCATGTCAAGTGGACTTAGAGCCCAGGCTCAGAAACCAATGAGCAGGGTTTTTAAAATAAATAGTTGGTTTAAGTTTTAGTACAGTTTTCGATTTTCAGAGTTCCTGGACAAATAGGACGAGTTCCACATGTTAGCTACAACTGCAGCTTCCCTGACTAAACCCTGCATTAACATACATGCACGCCAGTGACTGCGCCACGTGACACATTATTAACTGCAGTAATAAATTTACCTTAGAGTTCACTTATTGCACATTCTGCTTGCTTGCTCTTTTGCTTTTTTGTTTGTTTGTTAAAGATAGGATCTCACTGGGTGGTGGTGGCACATGCCTTTAATCTTAGCATTTGAGAAGCAGAGGCCGGCGGATCTCTGAATTTTAGGCTAGCCTGCCTGGTCTATAGAGCTAGTTCCAGGACAGTCAAGCATACCCAAAGAAACCCTGTCTTGAGCCTCACACCAAAGAAAAACCAAACAAAAGACAGGATGTCATTCTAGCCCAGGCTGGCCTAAAATTTGCAGTGTAGTCCAGGCTAGTCTTGAACTCATGATTTTTTGGCTTGTCAGAATAAGTCTTGGCTCCATTTGGTAATCCCTCTTATTTTTTTTTTCATCTCCAATCTAAATTTTACTATTTTATTTGTGAAAAAACTACAAGCCCCTCTTTTTTTTTAAGGTTTTATTTTTATTTTATGTGTATGAATGTTTTGCCTGTGTGTATGTTTGTGCACCATGTGTGTGCACTACCTGTAGAGACAAGAAGGTGTCAGATCCTGTGGTGATTTGAAAAAAAATGTCCCCCATGTGCTCATGATTTGAATTCTTGTCATTGGGGTGTGGCTCAACGTGAGAATGATTGCGAGGTGTGACCTTGTTGGAACATATGTGGCCTTGTTGAAGGAAGTGTACCACTTGGGGTGGGCATTGAGGTTTCAAACACCCAAACTGTAGCGCGTGGAGATATAGCGCGGGGAGATGTAGCGTGCGCCCCGGCGCTGTCATGTCGTGGGCACGGAGCCTGGGCGCCATTTGCTGTTCCACGTCAAACTTGACAGACAACTTGTACGCATGCGCGCGAGCTCCCCCCAGCGCAGGGGAGTCTTCCGATCTGGCCAATCATAATCTGGCACGATCACTCCATTCTGGCCTGAGCCATTGGGTTGATGACACGTCAGGGCTTTGTCTGGCACCGTATATATTCTTCTGCTTCACGGGGACGGGGTCTTTTGCCTCTCTACAACCTCAAGTGTAAGTGCTCCAATAAAGTGTGTTCTGAGAAGAATCCTGTTGCGGTCGTCTCTTCTGCTGGCGGGAGCGGCGTGCCGCACCAAACCAGTCCAGTGTCTTTCTCTTCCTGCTCCCTGTGGATCGAATTGTAGAACTCTCAGCTACTTCTCCAGCATCATGTCTGCCTGTAGGTTGCCATGCTTCTCCCTATGATGATAATGGACTGAAACTCTGAAAGTGTAAACTGACCCAATTAAATACTTTCTTATATAAGAGTTGCCGTGGTCATGGTGTCTTTGAAGAGCCCCTGGCACCAGAGCTACGAATGGTTGTAAACAGTCTAATGTGAGCGCTGAGAATTGAGCTCTGGTCAGTTTCCCCAGCAAATTGTTTTTTTTTTTTTAATCCCATGCCTGTGGGAGCTGGAATGAGCGTTTGCTGCAGCACACGCCTTTAATCCCATCGCTTGGGAGGCAGAGGCAGGTGGGTCTCTGAGTTTTATGCCAGCCTGGTCTACAGAGTAAGTTCCCCCAAAACCCGAGCTACACGGAGAAATCCTGTCATGGAAAAAAGAAAGAAAAAGACGCACTTGCTGCTCTTGCAGAGGACCAAGATTCATTCAGCATCCATAGCAGACACTTCACAATCTCCCATAAATTCCAGTTCCAGTGGAACCAATACCCTCTTGCCTCCTCTGTTTTGCAGATAAAACACTCATACACATAAAATAAAAATAAATAACTGTGAAAATAAAAATAGGCCCCATGCCTGTGTAATTGCCCTCATTTTCTCAGAACTGATCTCTTTTCCTAGCAGTTGGCTTCTTTTCTGAATTAAGCAGCTCTCGTTTTTTTCTCCACACATGTGCATATGTGTGGGTGTACATGTATGTGTGGGGATGCATGCATGCATGCAAATGCCTGTGGATGTGGAGGCTCAAGGTTGAAGTCAGGAATCTTTCTCAATAACTCTCCTTATTCTTTGAGTTAGGGTCTGCCAGTCAGACCCAGAACTCACCAATTCAGCTAGCACCGTGAGCCAGCTCGCTGCCGAAATCCCTTCTGTCTGCTGAGGGCTGGAGTCACACATGAGCTGCCACACCCACGTAGTATTTGTGTGGGTTCTGGGGGTCCCAACGTCAAATGCTTTAACCACTGAGTCGTCTTCCCAGCCCAAGCTTTCCTTTCCTTTAGAATAACTTTGGATTCCTAGGCAAATGGGAATGTACAAACTTTCCACACCCCTCCCGCCCATGTGACCCCGCCCCACGGCAGTCTTTCAGTGTACAGTGCTTTCTTTGCACTTCGCTCTGCTCGGTGAACTTGCACTGCCTGCCAGCTTAGATTGGGTTTCCCTCCTGGTGCTGCCCATCTGTGGCTTTTACGATGTGCTGGGTGACACGTCTACCCTCCTCGTGTCTACAGTGTACTGAATGTGCTGGCAGCCCCAGGACTGTGGGTGGAACCTTGGCAGCTTGTTACTTTGTTGCTTTTAGTTTTCTTTTAGGGGCTTAAAAGTAGCATCCACTTGGACAAAAGGCTTGCAGACTGGAGACATTTTTGTTTCATGGATCTCTTAGGCATGGTAATTAAAACTTAAATTTAACTTTGGCTCTCACATTCCCCCATTAAGTTGGTTTTTTTTTTTTTTTTTTTTTTTTTTTTTTTTTTTTTTTTTNTTTTTTTTTTTTTTTGCCAAGGTTTTTCTGTAGTTTTGGTGCCTGTCCTGGAACTAGCTCTTGTAGACCAGGCTGGCCTCGAACTCACAGAGATCTACCTGCTTCTGCCTTCTGAGTGCTGGGATTAAAGGCGTGTAACACTACCACCTGGCTCCCCCATTAAGTTGTATCAATAGTAAAACCCTTGACTCTGTGTTGGGTACCTGCTTACATTGGAATCTAATAAACATCAACTTAATGGTACCCAGAGAGGAATTATCATTTAGTTAAGGCATCACTGATGCAAGACCCAACAGCAGTTAGCAGTAGCAGAAGGGCCAAAGGCTCTCTGAAGGCTGACATCAGAGTTATTATCTAGAAGGAACCTGGAATTCATCTCAGGTCCCCTTTTTTGCATTTTTTGAGTTATCCAGATTATTTTTAATGATTTTTGAGTAGTTTGTATAGAAATAGTAATTTTCCTTAAAGTTATACGATAACCTCTGTTTGACATAGAGCAAACAGAGCCCTGTCATATCATAGAACTATTTCAGCTAATGAACATGCGGTGGATAGTTCTGGATCTACTTGGTTTTAGCAGATACCTTTCCTGGTATGCCAAGAGGCACTCTAGGTAGCTATTTTGTTCTCTGTGCCAGAGAGTTTCGTATTGA